TTTTTTTCAAAAACATCCTTTTTATCAACCAAATTCCTTATTTTATTTCTTCCACCATCTCCTTTCTTCATCCACCCTTCCCATCACCTCCATCTCCCTCCACCCGCCACCCTACGCCTTCCACCACCACCACCCCCGCCCGTCTCCTGCCACCCCCCTCCTTTAGCGCCACCACTCTCCCCCTCTTCCTCCCTCCTCTCCCCCTCTTCCCTTTTTTCCCCCTCTCCCTCTCTCCCCATTTTTCCGCCTCTCCCTCTCTCAGCCGGCAACCAGATCTGCCACCCCCTATAATAGCTCTTCATCGGATTTCGCCCAGAATACCTCTCTCCATTGCCCATCCGTTTGGGAGAGCAGTCTCACTAGCCAAGTCGGGAAATCCGTGCCTGGTCTCATCCTAGCTATTTGATCAAGTTTGGGTTAGGTTATGATTTTTTGGGCTGCACTACTAATTTATTAGTAGTATTATTATAATAATTAAATAAAGGAGTAATACGAGGAACACGCTTATTGTGGTTTGTGTTAATACTTATACATGGACTGAAGTGATGGTGGTAATGGCTCAGTGGGCCAATGGGCTGATATTAACCATTGGGCCAATGGCTCAGTGACCACCAGGGAGAGGCTTAAGTCCCTTCTTAAGCTGTAGGTGAGGGTTCAAACCTCACCTGCAGCGAAAAAAATCTAAGAGTTGTGTCAGAGCACTCCCTTGATTTAGTTAGGTCTATATACCCACTACCCTCCTATCACAGCCTCGTAAGGCTCCCCTTCCCCTCTAGATTAGGATAGAGTAGATTATACAAATGTATCTTTGCTGACAAAAAAAAAAAGTGATGGTGGTAATTGGTAAAATTTTGTCTTGCATCTGTGAGGATGTAGGATCGACAGTCCGAATTGGGTTTCGCTTTTCAGCGCGTTGTTTTAGTCCTTTTGGGGAAAAATGTTTGCCAGAGAATATATAGTGTACCTTCAAGGCCAAACATCCAATGAAAACTGGGCTAATTGATTAGAATATTAATGGTTGACAAAAAGTTCGGTCAAATATGGCTCCTTGGTTGCCTGGTATCAATTTATGCCCGTCGCTCCTATATGGCGCGACGGTCAGCAAACTTTTTTTTTTTTAAAAGTCCTTCTAGCATGTAGCCGTCGCGCCATGTAGGATTGACGGCCAAACAGGTCAAAATTTTTAAAAAAAAAAATCTTCGTAGCCGTCGCGCCATGTAGGACCGACGGTCAGAAAATTTAGAATTTTTTTTTATAAAAAATCCTTCAGCCAGGTGATTTAGAAATCTTTGTACAATTCAATTGGGAATTCAGCAAAAATTTTTCTGTAAAAATTATTTACAATCAAAATTTTGAAAAACAATGCATACAGTTTGACAAAATTCTAAAAACAAACATTGGGCTCGCAAGAATTTTAGCATTTTAAAGGAGACTAGGTTTAAAAAATTTGATCCATTTTTTAAAGGATTTAGGGATTTCTTAAAGAATTAATGTTTACCATTTTAGCAAGTTTAAGTTATATAACATTCATAACTGTTATGATTTGTTAAATTTAAAAAATGATTTAATAATATGATTTAAGTTGAAGTGATTGCGTAATGGATGAAAGTATTGCTTAATATTATTATGATTTGTTAATTTTAACTTTATTATGTATAATGCACACAGAATGTTAAAGGAACCGTAATTGTGTCCAAAAATGAAAAATTATAATATGAATTACGATTTATATATTTGAATTTTCATATAAAATGTAATCGTATAAAAGATCAATAACATATTTGTAGAAATGAAGAATTATTTGCGTGTCATTATTTGATATACGATAATTAGTTTAAATAATTTAATATATTAAAATAGCTGTAAAACGACTAGTACTTATTTGTTTTGTAGATATTATCCTATAGGGACCCTTCTATCCAATTATAGGGTTTAATAAAATAACTTGTACTTCTTTATTTTGAAAATGTTTGACATTATTCAAATTAAAAGTGATTGGATTAAACAGAAAAAGTAGACAACTAAATTAAATTAAATGTCATGTGAAATGCATTAAATGGATGAGATATAAAACATCGTCGAAGACAAAATAATATCAATGTCTCGCAGTTTTCTTGCCTTTACCCTTATCCTTCTCCTGAGGTATCGTCGGGGGACAACAATATCTAGTAGCAGGCCTTCTTTGACGATTACGTTGCACTCGTTCTCCGATATCAAGTTAATTTTATGAGTATTTCGGTTTAACTCCATCATATTATATACGATGTCCACCAATCCATCAAAATTCACCCTTTCTGTGAGGAACATGACCTTTTTGAGCAACGGTGGATCATATGATATTGACCTGCCAGCATATACAATTTTTCCTCCCCACTAGAATTGCATCATCAGACAATTACCGCTTGACATGTTTCACCTAATCTACTAAAGATGTTAATATAATATATGTATCACTGTTAACAAAAATGGAGTAAATTATACAATTTTATATTATTTTAACACAATTATTATACCTAATCAATGCATAGAATTTAAAATTTTTTGTATTTTTATTTAAATTACGTAAGCAGTCGAGTGATATATCTATATTAAGTTCAACCCTAATTAATAGATTTATATTAAGTTAATTACGTTTAACGCTAATTAATATATTTGTATTATGAACCAGTTCAACAGCATGTATTTTACATGCTACAACACTAATATGGAGTCTAAAAGTTTATTGATAAATTAATCATAAAAATTTTCTCTCCAAATAATTTAAAATATTAGGATATATTTGTAACTTTACCTTAATTTTGTAAAATATCTACACTAATTACCTTTAATTCGATATACATGTAATATTAAAAAATTTAATAGCATCTATTAACATATCCATATGTCTGCACCTATTGTTTAAAATATTAATCACGTGGTAAAACTATATTAATTTATTGGTAACTTTAATCATGTGTCAAAAGTATATTAATTGGTAACAACACTTAAATTTATCCTTTTTTAATAGGATGATTAGTGATATGGTTAATTAATATCTAATCAAATAATTTACCTTACTAATTAATTAAGCTAATCACTAACTAACTACTTTGGGTTATCACATATTCTTCCACATACCTAGTATTATACAATTCATTAATACTACATTCATTAATTTCAACTAATCACCATGCTACAACAAAAAAATACTCTAATTTACCATGTCAATTAAAAAACACTAATACGGAATAAAATATAAACAATGTCATGTCATATTTAGATTTTACAAATAATATATACTATAACACAAAAATAGAATTCACATTAAAACATACAAAACTATATTATATAATTAATAATCATGAATGACACATTCCAAATTATAGTAAACGATATTTATGAATAATAATTAAAGAAATAGATAAGTATTTTACTTACTTGATTATTGTTGTTTTCCCCTCGTCAATGATGGAGTGTCTGCGAGAATTTCACCTATCGAGACTTGCAAACACGACTGTTCAAATCAAAGGCCCTCTACTGACCGAATCCCAAGCCCTCTATCTCCATTCAAATATTATAGCTTTAGACTTTACAAAGTTAAGCTCATCCAGAATGTAGCTAAGCTAACGCGAACTTCAAGAATCTCTGTCTCCATCCAAATATTGTTTGTAACTTCAAACAATATTTATTTCACTTCACACAGCCAAGCTCGAATAGAATGCAGAGGTTTTACAAACATGAGAAATGGAGATATGGAGCTCCGTTTATGATTAGAGGGAAGAGGGAGAAACGAAAGTCTCAGAAAAAGAAGAAACTACTGAAGTTGTGGTTATGGAGTTGGGAGTTGCTCTGAAGAACAATTTATAAGCGAAGGAATTGTACATTTCTCTAGCCCATTGCTCCATGTTGAAGTGACTAGAGTGTCATTGAGAAATAAAAAAAGGCTGTCTACGCCTGTCCCTGACACAAAACAAGCCACCAAAAATAATGCGGTCAAAGGCTGTAAGCTTCTGGCCAATAAATTTTGTATATGTCTGGTAGATATCTTGCTGGATATGTCTAAAGCGAGAGGGCCATAATAAACCAGGACGATCAATAATCGAGCCAATTTGTCTTTTTATTGCATGCATCAACCTAACAATGATGAACGAATGGCAACACAGGTTTCACGGAAAGGTTTCACATGAAAAAAGCTATCGATAGAGCCACGGTCAAAGACTGTATATATTCTAATTATCTGGCTGGACGCCTAAGAAAATTTTTTTTTTAAAATGAGGAGGAGGATTTAAAATTAAAAAAAAAACATTTCTGACCGTCGCGCCATGTAGGAGCGGCGATCAGAAAATTTCTGACATCTCTGACCGTCGCTCCTACATGGCGCGACGGCCAGAAGGACTTTTATAAAAAAAAAAATTTGCTGGCTGTCGTACCATATAGGAGCGACGGCCATAGATCAATACCAGGTAGCTAATGGACCATAATTGACCAAACTTTTTGTCAAGTAACAATATTCTAATCAATTAGCCCGAAAACTGACAGTTCTAATGATTAAGGGAAGAAGATATTTTTATTAAAATTTATTTTGACCTATCAAAAAAAAATTTTTTGGTTGAACCATACAAATTTTTAAGAACATGATTTTGGCCCACTTAAGCTTTGGTAAACCACAAAATGGTTAGTTTTATATATAAAAAAAATGGAAATAAAAAAAGGAAAAATGAAAATATAAAGAGGGTAGCATGGACAATTCAAATCTATCCATTAGTTTGGATGATTTCCATTTAAAAAAAATGAGGAGATATCTTGATCAAATCTCAAATTACAAGGAAATTTTTTTGTATTTTATCCTTTCTGAAATTATCCCTTGCGGCAAAGCCATTTGGTAACTGGCTATCTTTTCCATTTTTCATTTTCCTTATTCTCTGTATGTTTGAAAATTTGCCTTGGTGGGATAGCTACCTTGGTGAAAAAGAATGCCAGCAGCTCCAACCCAGATACATATGGACGTAAACTCAAATAGAAGGACCTATGCAGCAATGTTGACATTTTTTTCCAAAGTTTCCAAATTTTCTTTTTCCCAGTAGTTCTCGAGGCAACAATACTGTCAGGTGGTAGCAAAAGACAACACTGTCATCAAGTTCCGACACTATGAAAGTTGAAAAATAGGAGAACTGAAGTTCGACATCGCAAAGATAATCAAAATAAGGACGCTGCTGCACAAAGCTGAAATTCGCCAAAGAAAAGGTTCCAGCTTAGCATTTTCCCGTGTTTAAATCATCGCCGAACCCAAAACAAAGCTAAAGCAACATCCTGAACGTCTCAGCTATTTAACACCAGTTAATTGAGTATCAACACAACGTTCACGATCAGCAACTGCTTTCACTATTGACCAGCTCTGAGTTCTGCTGGCATGTACTTCTCCATCAGCTTACTCTCTTCAATGTTAAACTCCTCCTCAACTGCAACCTCTTCCTCCCAGTGTCTACGCTTCAATGCTAACTCTTCCTGCAAATGCCTGCTTTTCATCTCTGACATCCTTTCTTCATGAGATTTCATCAGCTTCTCTCTCTGAGAAACAAATTCTTCCATTTCTTTGTCCTGAAGCTTGATAGACTTTGCAATTGCCTCAGCCCTATGTTCATAAATTCAAGATCAATTAATTAGAGCAAAAACACAGACACACACACAACGTATTGCTGAGAAGATGCTTGTGTTATGGAGTCAGGCAAAAGCACATTACATGACACGAGGATCCTCTGCTGAAGAAGGATTTGCATGAGACTGTTGAGTGATTTTTTCACGCTGCTCCTGTTGAATCTTCTCAAAATCATCCTCCTTTGCATCCCTTGCTTCATATATCACCTTGATCTGTTCCTTGAAAAATTGCTCTTGATAATCCATCTGAAAATTTAGAAGCAAAAAACAATGATGTGGTCACCTTAATGAACAGATGAACCTGAGTCGTTTGTTGATGAACTGTCAAGCGTACTAAAACACAATCAGTCTGAACAGACTGATTGTACTTTTGGCCAAGCAAATTCAATCAGTCATCAGTCATACAAAACAATCTATCATACATAGTCACTGCAATTGTTTTGAATTACACCTGGAAAATCAAATTTATGGTTTCAAATTGTCCAACTACATAAATCAGGAAGGGAATGGTACGAGCATACTGATCATCAATTGTCCTTGTCCTACAGGTTATTGCTTAAGGGCATATTTTCGTTTCATGGTCTTAATAACAAGCTGATTTAAACTATTAATTAAGTAAAAAGCTTTCTATGAAGTTTCCTTTCTTCAGTTTTTGGATGGTGGAAGGCCAATTTTAATACCCGAGGACTCAGTTAAAGCAAAAATATTAGATCAGTTTTGCAAGCATTGTCCACAGCAGATGTTTAGAAGTGCTGAGGAAGAATAAGAGATGGGCTAGTACAACAATTCAGGGGAGTCAACTTTTTCTTCAGCCACATTCCCCAAGAAAACCATGGAAAATAAGATAAAAGAGAGAAATTCAGACCTAATTAGTCGATCATTTCCATAGATGTGCAAAAAAGGAATTAGATCTTTTAGCATATTTTAAATTCCTGGGAGTAACAACCAGTGAATATATCTGGAAAATTTTAGTCAAAATGATTTGCAGGCAAAGGAAAAGAATCACAACTAATGTCAGCAAGCCAAGTTAATCAATTTTCGGCAGAAAAGATCAGCCAGGAGTGTCAACATCAATTCAACAAAATCAATTTTTGTAATGCATGCAAACAAACATGAACCCACATCAAAGATACATCAATTATAAATTCAACAATATCAAACAGATGTAACAAGGAGAATTTAACTCTGGAAGCAATAGCAGCTGCTTAACTAGTTGACACATAAATGACAACAAAGAAGAGAGCATATAACAATCATTTGCTGTATGAAGGTAGGAATGGAATTCATGCATGCATGTGGCATGCACTATGCTGCTAAAGGCCTTAATATGACAGCAACAAGAACATCAAGGCTAAAATTTTGATATCATGTACATATATACTGGTTACAAAAGGTTAGGAACCAAATAGACAATGAACTTTAAAATAAACCAATGACTTATTATCAGAACAATCAACTAGCCCAGAGTAACTAACTAATTGCAAGACACAGTTCAAACCATACCTCTTCCTTATTTTGCTCATGATGCTTTTTCGTTCTCAACCTCACAATACGGTTCTCTTCTTGCATCTTCCTCAACTTTTCACTGACCAAACCAAAAGATGCTTCAAGAGCTTTTGAGTGTCTTTGTTCTTTTGCCACTCTGTTCTTGAACCATAACAACTGCTGGTTATCTTCACTCATCTGTTTGAGTTGTCTGACAACCATTTCTTGATAGGATCTAACCTCAAATTTCAGTTTTGATTTCCCTGTAGAATAGACGATTGATCAAACTCCAAGTGACATCTATATATATATATATATAGACACAAAGACATATCTCTTTTGAAAAAAAAAAAAAAAGCTACCAGAAGCACAAGTACCTTGACAATGATAGTTAAAGCTGTCAAGGTCCCTCTTCTCTGCCATGAACCCATAGAGTTGACGCTTTCCACCAGGATAAAATGGCACCCTTTTGCGCTCCCAAGAGTCCCGGTCTCTTCCGTTGTCCTCAAAATGCTTGCTCAGTCGCTCAGCCTCCAAATATCCCACTGCTGACGCCTCAAAAATCAAAAGGCTCATTCCCCGATGGCCTTGTGGACCATATGAATGCCGGGCCTTAACGGCAGCATAAGAGCTGAAATAGTCAAGCAGCTCTTGATTTCCCATGCCCATCCACTACAAGGAAAACAAAAAGAAAGAACAGATCTAAAACCATTAATAACTAACACTTGCATAATTTATCAGTAGTCATAATTCATCATTAGTCACTCAAGTGTCCCAATTGCTAAAAAAATAAGCTAATAATTTAAGCATTTCTTTTAGCTTTATCTTCAACAATGAATTCTTTGAACAGCTTCAACCTGAGAAGACTTTTACATGAAAAATACATTTCAATTTTTTAACATAGCTATTCTAGAACTCACTTTTTATGCCATCTTAAACCAACTAGAACAAGCAAAAATGGATCCTGAAACCATGTACCTTGTCATTTTCATCTTTCTCGTGCCTTGTGTTCATAATGACCACCATTGGCGGCCACACAATTTCCTTCTCTGTCCTTTCATCCAAACCTTCCCACTTCCCAAACATTTCCCCTGCAGGGACAGCTGAAGTTCCCCGCCTGTGCAGTTCCTCCTCCAGAAGTTGAGCAAGCTCCCTGTGAAGCTTCACCCTTGTTGCTCCTTTTGTCTTTGCATGAGCAATAAGGGGCTGCAAGCCTCGAAACCAGTCAATGGCTCCAGGACCACCTTTGCAAGCAGGGCAATGCCATTGTCTCTCTGTGTCATTAATCTGCTCAACAGTCAAACTATCCATACATTCAAAAAGTTCATTAAACCAGCGGTTTTTCTTACGTGCATCATGACTCTTTACACTAGTGTCTGAATCAAAATCATCACTTAAAATATCGTCATCATATTCATCAGCCGTATCTGATTCATAATAATCATCATCATCAACCACCTCACTTGTTTTAGCATTCTCTTTGCCAACAAGATCAGGATTCTGCACGTTTAGATTCTTCTCAGAACCCTCTTCCAAGGGTTGAGTAGATCCTGTTCTAGCAGACCAGTTCCAGCCATGCTTTAGAGGTGGAGGAACAGCAGGAGCTGATGTCACTTGGTTACCATCAGAAGTTTGATTGAAAGACTGGGGTTTACCATTTCCTCTAGCAGAAGGTCTCCGAGAATCAGCTGGCAAGGTTGGCCAATTATTTCCAGCACCCCTTCCTGATCCACCACTGCTTCGCATACCTAACTTCTGAACAACATCAGAATGACCCCATGCTCTAGGATTTGAATTTTGTGAAGCCCACTGCTTGGGAGCACTGCTTCCAGCCTTGTTCTTGGACTTCTTCGTATAAACCTCCCAACCATCATCTTGAGCACTATCCAAGCTAACATCATTAACATCATGACTCAACTGCTCAATCTCGTGGTTGAGGGCCTCAGATGTATTTTTCCCTTTAGGTGATGAACTAACAGGCCCACCGCTAGAAGGCCTCCCACCCACCTTCCGCGAACTCATCTTTGATCAAAATCACTGAACAGATTTAATTTAAAAAAAGAAAAAGAAAAAGAGCATTAGAACAAGGAAAGCAACAGCTACAGAGAGAAGCTAGAAAAACAATAGCCTCATGGCTTGCATAACCAAACTAGTAGAAGAGGATTAAATTGCAAGCCAATAAAACGTCAAGCAATTTGCAGTATTTCATAATATATCACTGACGCAGGAAATACACTAAAACATAAGACATTGACTTTACTAGTTGTAGCAACCACAAATCTCGTGTCGTTACTTTTACATTTGCCATTACATCCAATAAGCCATCTCTAGCATACTGACAGTAAGTTTTCAGACATATACAGACTAGACCTATTGTGTTGCTTGTTTATCTTGTTTTCCGTCATATTCTAACAGGATTTAAATGATGGCAAACCAATCAGTCATCTCTAGCATGCAATCTGATGAAATTCATATGCGCAAGTCCAGAGTATAACGCAATTTCACCAACAATAAATAAGAATCATACAATAAACACACAATCAGAGATCTATGCAACATAAATACAACATACAACACTAAAACACTGAACCTAAAGAGATATAAGGTTCTTTGGGGAAAACAAGAATAGACAATTGCACAAAAATAAGATTAAAAATAAAAGGCTTCAAAACCTTCTTCTAGAACAAACAAAAATTAAGGCAAAACTGCAAAGAAAAAGACAAACGCATGCAGGGATTAGGTACTAGTAAACTCCATCACACATCTAGAGAGGAATAACTCACCGATTAGACAATCATGTAGACATTTCCATTTTCCCGCAAAATCATTTTAAAAAAATCAACAATTTGCGAAAATGAAGAGAGGAAAAAGCGATTACCAAAAAAGGGAAAAATACACAACGTATATACTTCTATCTGTAATGGAAAACAATCAGAATTTGAATCAGTTGAGAAAAAGAGAAACAAAATCACCGATGATAAACTTATGACAAGCAGATGAAAGGGCTCCCAGGGTTTTTTCATTCTTCTTCTTTTCGTTTTCTTTTTTGACAAAAACAAAACTCAAATAAAAGTGGAGAGAATAAGAACGAGGTACCTGAGAAGGAGAGTAAAATGTGAGACAACGGTAACCGGTGGCCGGACGGAGAATGTCGCCGGCGATTACAGGTCGTCAGGAAGAATAAATGAGAGAGAGTGGGAGTGAGGAGAGTGTGTTGTGTGTGTAAAAATTGGCGTGAAGGGGAAGCCAAACCCAAACCCCAACTAAAAGGACACTTTCTTAGTACTCTCAGTCTACGAGGGAGACCAAGGAAGGCATTCCCTTGACGAGACGCGGTAGTCAGTAAATAGTCTTTAGCTATAGTACTACTGTTTCGGACTTGAAAGCTTGTATTCAATTTGCCTTTTTTATTTTTGCCCAACTGGTCCGTTTGGTACTTGAATTTTTTGTTAAGTTTATTTGTTACAAATTTTTAAAAAACTTTATAAACAGTAATTTCAAAAAAATTTTAAAAATTTTAAACTATATGCTTCAAAAGATAAAAAAAAAAACACAGTTTTCAAAAATTTTTTAAAAAATTTCTACGGTAAACTATAGTAAAATTTTAGAAAAACATCTAAAAAATTCATTTGTCAAACGAGGCCTGGATTTCTAGTCCTATTTGGTACAGCATCTCAAGTCTCAGACCTCCCCCAAAGTTGAATTTTTTTTTAGATAATTTCAGAACCCTCTCTTGAGCTTTTTAACAATTTCACCTAGTTTTCATGAAATTTGAAAAATTATATATAATTTTTCTAAATTTACTGTTTTGGTAACAAAAACAATTTAATGGTCAAAATTTTGAATGAATAACCCAAAATGCCCTCACAAAATTATGAAGTTCATTTTACTTGCTTATAGAATTATTTAAAAAAATATGGAATCTTCATCTTTATTATTTTAAACCTTTCATATTACCACATCTCAAATTATTATCATTATCATCATGACCACTACCATCATCAGTTCCTAAATTCTAAAATTCCAATCGAAATTAAAAGAAAATCAACATTGTTGAAGTAAAAAAATTTCAATAGCTGCATTAATATATCATCGTATCTCTGAAGTGTTGGAGCACTAATAACAATCCTATCCTTTTTATACCTTCAATTTACATCTTTCTCTATTCATCTCCAGATCCTCCAAACAAAGCTAAACTTAATTTGTAATATGTTAAAACTGTGTTTAGAACATAATTGATTATTTTACGAGTGAATTTTATTTTTGTTCCATTAAATGTCTAATTGTGTGATGCATTCATATGAACAACATTAGGAGCAGATTGTTTAATTGCATGAAAAATATTAATATGCTAAAGCTATTATGGTCATTTTGTAGGGTTAAAGGAGGTAAGTGTAATACTAAAAATTTTAAAGGTACTAGATGAAATTGTTAGAAACCTCAAGGGAGGTTTTTGAAATTATCCCTTTTTTTGGAAGTTGATTATTATTTTTTTTTTTGGGCAAGGAAGATTAACATAACTAATTAAGAGCGTTCACAAATCGGGGAAGACAAAAGCCTCTATATTCATCCCCTAAAATTTATCTGGTTCACGGACTGGATGAGATGTGATAACTCATTATCGAATTATTAATCTTGGGTTGAGTCATTCTTGGATTAAGAATCCAAGTTATCCAGTATTTGGTTGGTTCTAGGTTAGATAGGATGTATGGGAAAATAATCATGTCCTATATTTGGTTGGAGATTGGATAAGACAGGATAACTATTTTAATAGCTAAAGTACCCCTTCATTTGTAGGATTGTTTTAATAAAATAATTTATAAAATTATATATTTTATTAAAATAAAATAATTTGAAACTTTAGAATTATAAAGTAAATCAAGGGCTTTGATAGATAAAAATTTGCAATCACTCAAACTCAGCCCATTCGGGCTCTTAAAAATAGGTTTTAACCTAATTTTTGAATCTAAATTTGAAATTCAATTAAATAATGGGCCGGGTTTTAGCTAATTTGGAGTTAAATTGAATAAAATCTAACCCATATGAGAGTTTTAAATGAGTCAAACTCAAGCCAGTAAAGAAGATTTTTCTTTGGACTGAATTTGAGCTGATTAAAACCCTTATTCACAAAGCCCAATTGATAAGGTTATGCATTTATATAGAATTTAGTTGAAAAAATAAGGTTAGTAAAGGCAATTTAGTTCAAGGGCAATATGGTCCTTTTATGATGATGTAATTAGGGGCAAATTAGCCAAATAATTTAAATTAATTACTAAGGTAAATTTGCCAAAAATTTAAAATAATGAATAGGGGCAAATTAGTCAAAATATTAATATAGTAGGGGCAAATTAGTCCATTTATTATCATATTATTATGTGAGAGTATAATTATATAATATTCAATATGAATTTGTATCACTTATAAGGGCAAATTAGTCCAAATACTGTTATGTTGGTAGTAGGGGCAAATTAGTCAAAAAAACTTTAAATTAATTAGTAGAGGCAAATTAATCCATTCATATTATATTATCATGCGAGGGTTAAGTTATATAATTGTGAGAATATAAATTTATATTATTTGTAAGAATAAATTAGTTTAAAATTTTATCATCCTATCTCTTAATCAATCTGGAACGACTAATACCACCTGTCTCATGAGATTATTTTATCCCATGAATAGGAGATTAATTCAATTAGTTGGAATGTGTCATCCTATGTTTAAAATGCAACTAAACATGAGATGATATGGAATGATTAATCAAATCTATGCCATTTCATGAACCATAAGGACCCTAATAGTTACTAGCCTGTGTATTCGAACCACAAGCTAAGCGGACAGACCCTTTAAAGTTGATTAAATTTACTTCTTGTGAAGTTGAGCTAGATTAGATTTTTTTTTTCTAGTACAAAGCTAGATTAGATTTCACCAATTTGGCTATGATATGTTTACTCTCCTTGATGGCAACAGCAGCAAAACCCAACTCCCGGAATTTGATCAAATGACAAAAGTGTCCAACACTTAAAGAAAAAGAAAAATACATTAAAAATGTGAAAGATCACTCTTCCCTTTTTTTCACAAATTTTAAATTAACTCGTCACAACATTCAATGACCACAAAAAACCAACATAATTGGGGAAAAAAAGGATAAAACACACAAACTACAAGGTCAGGAAAAAGGGGAAAAATTGAATAGCTCAGAACCCGTTTGAATTGCACTTTTTAGTAAGTTTTTGGAAAAAAATTACCGTAGCACTTTTTGTAAGATGTGACGTGTGTGAAATTAGAAATGGAAGTAGGGGGTGGTAGGAAGGAGACCCTACCCCCAAAATTTTAGAAAATTAAGTTTTTCTCCCTTAAAAATTAAAATTTTAAAAAATTTTCTTTATAAATTTAACTTTTTCCCCCCGCAAAAAATTAAAAATAGTTTAAGTTATACTTAAGATTTAATTGTATTAAAGTTCGCCTCCTTAAAAGAAGTTTTCTAATTCTTCCTATATTTGAGATAAACAGATGATTGAAAAATATGAAAAGAAATATTCTTGCAAAAACCTAAATAAAAAAATTCTTCAAAAAATGTGTAAAACCCAGAGCAACCTAACATGAAGGGTGAATTATGTTGATTAACAACTAAGTAAAATATGACAAATTTTCACCCAATTTAAAACCAACCAAATCACCTAAATGATCACACAAATGAGCAAGTAAAAAGCAATAAATTAAAAAGAAGGCAAAACCAATTAAGATGGTACCCTTTATGGCACCTCTTTTGACTCCTAAACTTCACCAAGTTTGGAGTTCAACACACCATGTGCTTCTTCTATATTGGTGAAACAAATTAACTTGTACAAAGAAGGGGTCACATCTTGCTCACATCAAATTTTCCTGCTCTAGTTAAGCCAAGGGATTTTACAACTCTCTTTAGCTAATTCTTTCTAAACTATAATTGAATGCTCACCCAAACAATGAAGAACACTTGGAACTTTTCAATCTTACAAAGAACACAAGTACAAACACAAAGAGTATTCTCCCTCAAAATCACTCACACAACACTTGTAGTCTTGTAAGTAAAAGTTGCTCTAATATTTTAGGCTTTCGGGATAAAAGATGAAATTCTGGTCCAAGAATCTCTCCAATGGTCAAAAAAACTATCTGTTAAAAACTATCTATTGGAGTTGTCGAACATTCAAACCAAATGCTCTGCATCCAAACCATGCGTCCGACACCGAATTGAACTGCCGTTTCAAATATTCACTATTTGATAGATGTGTTCGAGAGAGACCAGTAACTTTTTATATTTTGCACTTAATTATCAGATGGAAAATAGAGTGAGTTAGCATCCGACACTTCATCTCATGTTATTTGCTTCAATGTTCGAATGGTTGACCCTTCATTATACATCTGATGCTGTGTTCGATTATAGGGGATATCTCTATTATGGTGTTTCGAACATCAAATCAAGTAATTATGCGTCCAAAACTATGTCTGATGCTGAAAGACTATCTTTATTCCTTCTTATTTTTCATTACATGTTTTCGCAAATGTTTCAGCACCTTTCCTAGCAAAATGCTTACTAAAAACATTAGTAAACCATCATTGGCTTGTTAATTATTAAAAGCAAGGATTGACTGATCCAAATCTTCAATCTTCCCCATTGTTATGATGACAAGCAAAATAGTAATTTCTTTTATCAAATAAGCTCAAATAGACTCCCCCATACCCTATGGTATCTCAAAGATTAGACAATAGAATTCAAGTAAAATTCCCTCTAAGTACAAGCCCAACATGCAAAAAATATCATTCAATGTTCTTCCCTTTTTGACACCATAAAAAATAAATATGTAAGTATGAAGAGAAATTGCTCATGAAGAAAGAATTGCAAGTAACTCCCTCTAAAATTAAGCACATTGTATATTCCAGTACCATAACAAAAAGATTTCCCATAAGATAAAGCATTGAACTCCTCCTTAATTAAGTTAATACCAAAATCATTCCTTATCAAATATCTATCCCTTAAAATATAGATGTAGGTCAAGTAAGTACAAAGGAATAAATCAAGTTCATAATTTTCTTCCCTTCAAAGACATTTACTCAAGTAGATACGAGAGAATTCCTGGAAAAAAAATTATTGTCAAAATGTCAAAATAAGATTGTAATATAAAAATCATTTTTCACTCATTCTTTTATAGTTTCTCCTTTTTCGAGATATACATAAATAAGTACCAAGGAGTTCATAAAGCATCATCAAAAAGAGAGTTGATTAACAATGACACATATGGGATGCAAATTTTCATTTATTGTAAGGCTAAGAATATGTAGTGTATCC